GCTCCCCCAACTCCCAGCCACCAAATCCAAAAACCCACCTCTACCTACACTCATCCTCTCCTCTTTTCTTCATGTTGCACTGGGAGAGACATTCTCTTACTTGTGCCCTGGAAACTCCATCCCATCAGAAACCCTGGATGATTATCCACTCTGCCCCACAACTTAAACTCTCCCACTCTACTGGTTCCATCTCTTCAGCATTTCAGCCCTCACTCCTCACTACTGTAGGAGAAAAAGTCTTGCCTGACCCCATCACTCCTTTGACCTATGGCCCTCAGTCCTCTCCTATCAAGTCAACTTCGGAATGAAGTTTCTATTCATAGCCCAGTGTATTTGGGCTTCCATTTGTAACCACTCTGCTAGACGAACTCTTGCTAAAGACACCATGTGACAAAAGTCAAAGGGCACATTATGGCTCTCATCTTGATCTCTCAACAAATATGTTATATAGCTGACAACTCCTCTACTCCACTTGGCTTCTGTGAACACTACAAACTCTATTTTTCCTTTAATCTTTCAGATTGCTTCATAGTTTTCCTGATTCTTTTTCTTTTCCTTTTATAGGCTGGGTTCCTCATTCAGCATTCTCTCCCTGGTGATCTTAACTACTCCTGTCTTTATTTCCCATCTAAATTCTTATGCCTCTCAAATTTAAGTTTCCAACCAAATTTCTCTTTTCTGAGCTCCAGACCATGAAACTACCAATTATCTAAAACTGAATTAATTATATCCACTCTTCCCAACTTCTTCCTATTCCAGTGTTACCAATCTCAGGAAATTATATTTCTATGTTCAAGTCAGAACGTGGATTACATCCTTCTCTCTTTTCCTTATGGCCAATTAATCAACAGATTCTACTGATTCTTCCTCTTTTTTTCTTTTTTAAAGATTTTATTTATTTATTATTATTTTTTATTTATTTATTTTTTTAAAGATTTTATTTATTTGAGAGAGAGAGAGTGAGAGACAGGGAGCACGAGAGGGAAGAGGGCAGAGGGAGAAGCAGACCCCCTGCTGAGCAGGGAGCCCGATGCGGGACTCGATCCCGGGACTCCAGGATCATGACCTGAGCCGAAGGCAGTTGCTTAACCAACTGAGCCACCCAGGCGCCCAAGATTTTATTTATTTGAGAGAGAAAGAAAGTGAGAAACAGAGCACGAGTGGAGGGGGAGGGGCAGAGGGAGAGGGAGAAGCAGACTCCCTGCTAAGCAAGGAACTTGATCCCAGGACCGCGGGATCATGACCTGAGCTGAAGGCCGACACTTAACTGACTGAGCCACCCAGGTGTCCCCACTGATTCTTCCTCTTAAATATCACTCAATTCTATTTATTTTTCCCTATTCAAATTGCTGCCTATATAGAGCAAGTCATTATCACCTCCCTCCTAGAGCACCATAATTCTCAAAGTCTGGAGTTTAATACATCTAGAAAGCCTGCATGATCTCTCACCTGGCTAAGTGTCCAGTCTCATTCCATGCCCAGGCCCCACCCACCCCTTCTCTCTCAGCCCTAACCACACCAACTAAACAGCTTCTCAAATGTGTCACATTCCTTCCCATTTGGGGGCCTTTCATATATTTTTCCGTCTGCCTAAAAATAAGTGCTGTCTATTGCAATATTATGCTTTCTCCTGAACTAACTCCTATTTGTCCTGCAGATCACACCTTCAGTATCATTTTTTCAGGTAAATCTTTTCTGAATGCCTGGATTCTGACAGGCTCCCCTGTTATGTGTTTTCCTATAGCCTCTTCTAGCACTTATCTGTTTTTTGTGTTTTTTTATTAAAGATTTTATTTATTTATTTGACAGAGAGAGACACAGCGAGAGAGGGAACACAAGCAGGTGGAGAGGGAGAGGGAGAAGCAGACCTCCTGCTGAGCAGGGAGCCTGATGCGGGGCTCGATCCCAGGACCCTGAGATCATGACCTGAGCTGAAGGCAGACATTTAATGACGGAGCCACTCAGACGCCCCCACTTATCTTATTTGTAAATAATTATTATTGACCATGTTCCCTTGTAAACTATAAATTTCAGTATGGCAGAAGCTTCATCTTGTCTCATCTACAAATGTATTCCCAGGACTTTGCATGGTATGTGACATGTAGATGGCTCTCAATAAGTACTTACTAAGTGAACAAATTAATGACTATGATGATAGCCACAGACCCTCAGAAGTTATCAATCAAACTTCAGGACATAAAATTCTGAATGGGAAAGACTAAAAATATGATGCATTCTTAGCCAAGAAATAAACAGTTCATCAAAATATTTCTTAAAAGGTGAAAAAGGAAACCAGTAAATAAAAATGAACAGAATGCACAATCCAGAAAGCTTACACTTTTTGTTTTGATCTAGTTTAATCTTTTGGGAAACAAATTTGGGGCTCCCTGAGTAAATCAATGAAGGAAACAGTTTTATACTTACACACAGGCTCGGAACAAGACTAGAGAGATTGACATGTCGTGGTGCAAACATGTGTAGCTGCTGAAGGCAAGATATGGCAGCTGCCTGAACCAGAGAATCTGAATGGTCCTGGGTTATTGCACAACCCACCAAACAAGAAGAACGAATGGTGGAAACTGTTGCTCCATTCCCTGGTAGCAAAATCAAAGAAAATGCAAAATGCTATTATTAGTACTACCAAAAACAATCATCTTCTAAACAACCCCTTTCTGATCACTATTCAGATTGTTTTGAAGATAAGAAATCTGCAAAGTCCATAGAAATGACTTCAAAACATGACTGTATATGGATGACAATAGTATATCCCTCCTAGATTTAGCTAGGTTTATAGAAATCCCCTAGGAAACCATATTGTCCTTTAAACCCATCACTGTTTTACTTGAAAGAGCCAGAAGATTCCTCATTCTCTGTCCAACCAATATTATCACTATATTATTTAATAACTCCAAATCCTACTTTCCTAAGAATTAATGAAAACTTTTACAGAGATAGTCAGGAAAAATAATAATAGTATTATATACTGTGTAAAAACATCTTAATTGCCTATTATAAGTGCTTTAAAATTTTTGCCAGTGTAATTTATATACATATAATGCCAAACAAAGAAATCATGGTCATATAGAGTCGCATTCTAGTTTGAAATACATATTGCCTCATCATCACTGCATCAGAAAACACTTGGTAAACACCTATGTTTAATCAGGCACATATTTATCCTGTCCATATCCTTATGATAACATTGGAAGAAAAAATTACCAACTTTCTCAAAGAGGACACTGAGTGCAAGAAAAAGAATGTCTAAATCACGTATTTTCCAATTCCTAGCATTCTTCATTAAGATTTTTTCATTTTTGGATTCTTTCTTTTTTAAAAATATCTGTCCAGAGGGAGACAACACAGCATAGTGGTTAAGAATGCATGCAAAGGAAACTGATGTGGCCTTCATCTCTGGCTCCAACCTCTCACTAGCTATACAAAACCATGGAAAAGCTCTTAATCTCTCCCAGCCTCAGAGTTTCATCTGTCAAATGGAGAGATGCACCTATCTCAGGATGCTGTTAGAATTAAATGAGATAATGTGTATAAAAATCTTGACCCAGTGAAAGCATTTACTAAATGATAGGGGAAAAAGGGGAAAACTCTGAAAATGGATGATACATTCAGGATAAATTCACAATAATTTTCTGCCTTCTGTTTCATTCAACCTTTAGTAAAATTATGTCAGTGGAACTGTGTAGTTAGAATATGGGCCTCAGGATCATAAATCTGTCACTCAGTTAGGTAACTTTAGGCAAGTTACTAATCTTCTCTGAGCTTGGTTCCTCATAGAAAAATTACATAATATTATCTCCCTTATGGGAGTGGGTTTTCAAACTATGTTCCTGATCTTTAGAATTCAAAAAAACAGTGAAGCAGAAGTCCATGAAGACAAGTGGATGGTACTCCAGGACAAAGGAACTTCACTTTTCATCTTTGTCTTCATGGAGCTCCAGGTAAAATTTAATTTAGAAAGGCTTCCTCTGGGGGTGCCTGGTGGCTTAGTTGGTTAGGTCTCCAACTCTTGATTTCGGCTCAGGTCATGATCTCAGGATCATGAGATTGAGCCCTGTGTTGAGTGTGGAACCTGCTTAAGATCTTCTCTCTCCCTCTGCCCCTCCCAGCTCACACTTTCTCTCTCTCTCAAAAAAAAAGGAAAGGCTTTCTCTGCTCAAAACTTCAAATAATAGTCAGTCATAGGTATGTTGTAGGGATTAAATAAAATAGCATATATAAAAAGCAGAGTTGATGGGGCGCCTGGGTGGCTCAGTCGGATAGGCGTCTGCCTTCGGCTTGGGTTGTGATCCTGGGGTCCTGGGATCGAGCCCCACATCGGGCTCCCTGCTCAGCGGGGAGCCTGCTTCTCCCTCTGCCTCTGCCTGCCACTGCCCCTGCTTGTGCTCTCTCTCTCTCTGTCAAATAAATAAATAAAATCTTAAAAAAAAAAAAAAGCCGAGTTGAAGGGTGTCTGGGTGGCTCAGTCTGTCAAGCACCTGTCTTTGGCTCAGGTCATGATTGAGCCCCAAGTTGAGTCAGGCTCCTTGCTCAGCAGGGAGTCTGCCTCTCCCTCTGCCTCCCCCTCCCCCTGCTTGTGCTCTCTCTGTCTCTCTCTCTCTCAAATAAAAAAAATAAATCTTTAAAAAAAAAGCAGAGTTGTAGGCCTTTGGTAAATAAGAAGCATTCAGTACACAGTCATCAGTAATTATTACTATTACAAGTTTTCATCAAGCAACATGATAGCGACATTCAGGAAACTGAAAGATAGCAAATGTCTAGTTCCTTTATTTAAGATGAATTTACTCACCTTGTAGCTCAGGGCCAACAGTAGTTATTATGGCACCCAGGCATCTACCCAAACATTGATGAACTTCCGTATGTGAAGGTGGGACTGTCAACAGCAAGGTAAGAACTAGAGATAATGTTGGTTCCACATATCCACGATACATTGGGCCACTAGAATCCACTATAAGAGCAAGTGAATGAAGAGACCATGTCTGGAATGAAATATAATTTTATTTAGTGGTAAGGAATAATTCGAGTATACTGAACTGATTTTTTAACTTAAATGTTAATAAATATTAACACATTTTTTTTATGGATTCATCTGTTTAATATAGGGATATAACATTTTGTCAACACTAGGCACCATAAAACGTAAACACAATTACTGTCATAAACCTGGATATACCTTCAAGGATTCAAAGTGACTTTATGTTTAGATACCCTGTTTGGATATAGTGCAGAGAAAGGTCTTCATGTTATTAGCACTATATACATAAGAAGAGATCCAATTACAGGAGAGACAGATAAAATTTGAGTTCTTTAAACATTCATTAAACTAAGTTTTGTAGTAACATCCAGGTTTATCTTCCTTTCACTAACCATGTTCCCTGTTAAGCACATCATAACAACAGCACAGTGAAGTGAATGAAGAAATAGAAGAATTTTGATATACTAGAAAACAGTACTCAGTGATACATTTACATTCTATTTATATGATTAAACATTTGATCATACAGTACCTTCGTAAGGATTACTGGCTAATCTGGGGGTGCGGTTTAGACTGTTAGAGGTATTGCTAACATGATAACTACTTCCCTTATATGCAGATATTAGAGCTATAATTTTATTGAGAGTAAAACTGATACTGCAAGTTGACTGAGCAGCTTCTCAAATAATGTGGTTTATGAAATCATGGGAAATGAGCAAAGCTGCCCTTGACATAAAATGGTTTCTCAACCTGCTTTTCACATCAAATTTAATCAGTACAGACCAACACGGTCAGTCAGGTAATTCTTAATATGAACAAATGAGGAAAAAAAAAATATATGTACATGAATAAACAGGGGAACTAGATGCGTTTTAGCAAGGAGTGTCAGGTGGTAGTTCTGGATGAAACTTGCACTGCAGTTTTCACTTCCATAGCTGTGTGCTGAGAGTCTGACCCGATGAGCTTCTAGACCATCCTGCTGTTGTGTTGGGGGGCTGGCCAAAACCCACTGTTGGGTTCGTACTACTGATACTCATGCCAGCCATTTGCTGATTCATCTGTGAGAGGTTCCACTGGGGCTGTTGAGCTTGCGGCAGGCCAGACTTACTCTGCGGTGCACCCATCTGTCCCACCATTCCTCCTTGGGGGCCAACCACATTTGGAGGAAGTGGCATCACACTAGCTTGTGCATTTCCCATAAACCCCTTGGGCATGGGCATGCCCACCATCATGCTTGCACTCTGTCCCATCACATTTCCGTGAAGGCCAGGAGCTGCAGGTGTATATTTGTGGGTCCCATAAACACACCAGGAGTACTCTGCTGCTGAATGGTTCCGGTACCATATAAAGGTTCTTTGGAGAGTTGTTTCTTTGCCACCTCTTCTGACTTTGTAGCTTGCTCGGTGAACAGATCCAGATCTCCAGATATTACTGTAGACAAAGTGGCAGCTGCAGGTATAGAGGGCATCCCCTCAGCTGGGGGTATGACAGTTGCAGGTAAGGGGTTAGAGATCATTGGTCCAAAGATGTCTAGATCATTGTTCAGGGACGGCACCGTGGTTGTGTTCCCATTGGTCACTGGTGCCTCAGCAGGGCCATCAAGTCCTAAAAGATCAACAGTGGGCTCCGCAGCTTTTTTAGGGTTGGTACTTTTTTTGGGCTCCAACTGCTGATCTTTCTTCTGCAGCTTTTCAGTTGTAAGAGGTTTTGCAGGCTTTTCTGGCTCCTTTTCTTTTTCTCTTCTTTTTTTTTTTTCTTTTCTTTATTTGTAATAGCTATTGCATTTTTATCGTAGTATTTCTTCTCTTCATATTTATCTCTGATGAAAAATTCCACTGCTTGATCTGTCTGTGGTCTTTGAAAGTTCTCTGGAAGATTGGCTTCAGAGAGCAGTCTTGCTTTAGTATTTTCCATATCTTGCATGCACTGTATCTGTTGTGGTGTACATTGGTCTAGGTTGCCTGACTTGACCCTGGATATATGAACCCCAAGATTTCCATGGATTCCAGCACATCTGATGCAAATAAATACACCAATATTCCAGGAAGCCCATCGAGGACCTTTGGACTCACAGTCGGTGCAGTACTTTTTGTCCTCCTCCCTCAGCAGCTTGGGCAGGATGAGCTGGTGCTGCTCCTTCAGCTTCTGAGCCTTCTCCCAGCAGGAGCCCGTCACCATCTCGGCAGCGGGGGGGTGGGGGGGTGGGGGGGCGGGGGAGGGACCCCGGGGAAGCTATGGCGGTGGCGGACTCAGGCAGGAGCTGGGCAGCATGAACACACCTGGAGCCGCCGAGACCGCATGGAGACTCAGCCCAGGAAGCGGCGGCGGCAGCAGCTGGAACTGGAGGAGGAGCGGCGGCCTAACACCTTAATTTTTAATCAATGATCTAAAAATACTTTAACCAAAGCAACTGATGTACAAGTGTTATGTTTAAGTTTCTCTGCAGCATGGCTTTGAGTGTCAAATAAAATTTCGATGATGAATTCATTTTCTTCTATTATAATGTACATCTATCTCATACATTCAAAAGACCATGACTTATGTAATAAGCATTTGATTTAGTGGATGCTTATGGACATCAAATATATTTTTATTGCCTGTATTGTGGAGTTTTGCTAAATAATGAGCCTGAAATAGAACAATGACCATCACAATGTTCTGTACTTGGATACATTTCTATAGCAATGATATTCACATATCAGCTCTTCAAGTGCACTGAACCATTTCAAGCCCCTGTTTATGCCTACTAAGCACAAAGTAATCTTACTGGCTAATAGCATTTCCAAAACTAATCCCAGAGCAGCATATTGTAATCAGCACAGGCTTGAGAAAATTAAGTCCTTTAAACTGCCTACATCCAGCTGTAGAAGATCTTATCTTTTATTTCTGCTGCTGGCAGCTCAAAAGGAGAGCTATACTACTGGGCTGAGGACAGAGAGATCTCAACTTGCCAACAAAGGAAAAAAAAAAATCCACACCTCAACTTCTACTACCTATCAATCTGCTGTAATCCTAGAGAACTCAGCAACCTGACTTGGACAGATATGTACAGAAACCACATCTACTGACAAGAGCTAGCAAAAAATAATAGGGATATAGCAACGTGAGGGAGGAAGACTAGAGCAAACATTCTGGAGAAAATGATTAAATGTAAGAAATAGAGGTGCCTGGCTGGCTCAGTCAGTAGAGCATCAACACTTGATTTCAGGGTTGTGAGTTCAAGCTCCACATTGGGTGTAGAGATTACTTTAAAAAATAAGTAATAAAAAATAAATGTACAGAACAAAAAGCACTTTAATAAAACTGTAGTAAGAATTTTTTAGGCCATATAAATTAAAGCACAAAGGAGATTCTAGAAGTGTTTTTTTTTAAAACCCAGGATTTATATTAAAGATGCAATGGAAAACTAGAAAAACAATAGCTACTGCTAAAAACCAGAATCATGATTTTGAGGATCAAATGGAAGATTATCCTATAACATTGAGTGAAAATACCAAAAAATAAAAATAATGAGGAAAAAAGACAAGATCTAATATATGAACAATACTAGTTCCAAAAAGAGAAAAAGATAAACTTATATAGAATTTGATGAACTTCACAGGAAAAGTCTTACACACTGCCAAACAAAAATGTAAGGTTACAGACGTACATCTATATTTCAGGTAAGTTTCTTAGCAAAAGCAATGAAAAGATGGGGAATAAAGATTGCTGTGATGCCTGTAACTATCTATTAATTCGAAGTTTATCACATAAATCATTGTCTTTTGCAAGTGTGAAATGCATGCGTAGTATAAAGGAAAATGAATTCATCACTAAAGTCTCCTTTCTGGATATGCAAAGCCACACTGCAGAGAAACTTTAAACACAGTATTTGTACACCAGTGGCTTACATATTGTCTTTAATTTCCTAAAGAACATAACTGAAAGTTTTTAGAGATAAGTGATTAAAATTTGAGATGTTAATATTTACTGAAATTTAACTTTAAAAAAAGACTACCATTAGCCTCTTACGTGCAACACCAGAATACAGAAAATCCTGAAACATTTATGAATAATGAAAGAAAAGGATTATGTGCCAGAAATAGTATACTCAACTAAAATTCATTCAAATGTGAAGGCAAAATAAAGCCATATTTTAGATATGCAAGGATTAAAAAAGCATACCATCAAGCTAATGATTATTGGAGGAGTTTTTCCTATCCAGTGAAAATGTAAAAAAGAACAAAGATCTCAAGACAGGAGTTGAGGATACAAAGAAGAAAGTATTACTGAAAAATAAATCTCTGGTGATTACAGTTAAACAGATGTAGCCAATAATAGGACTGTAAAGTATAATTTTTGAGTTAGGATTCTTAAAACAGAAGACACATTAGGGAAAACTTAAGAAAATCTACTATACTCTTCTTGTGCAGATATACGGTAGCACTGAGGGAATGTAACTGATACAAATTTTAGTAAAATGCCCTGTCATATTAAAATAATTGTGCAGAGTGCTCACTTAGAGGAGTGTGATTTTAAGAAATTAAAAGCAAGAGAAGGCTGAGAAGAAGGTGAAGACAAAAGAAAGCAAACTATCACCATGCTCTTTGACATAAAAGAAGAAAGCAGAGGGGCACCTAGGTGGCTCAGTTGGTTAAGCGTCTGACTCTTGATTTCATGATTCAGGGTTGTGAGATCAAGCCCGTGTCGGGCTCCACACTGAGCGTGGAGCCTGCTTAAGATTCTCTCTCCCTCTCCCTCTGCCCTTACCCTGCCCCTGCTTGCATGCTCTCTCTCTCTAAAAAAGAGTAAATTAAATTAAAAAAATAAAATAAAGCAGCAAATTTTTAGGTAAAATGTTCTTCTAGTCCACTGTGAAAATAGAATTTTTTAAAAAGCAGTGTAGCACCTTATCCTGTAAGGGATAAGCTTACTTGATTTTTGTTTCTAACCTTTTTGGGAGTTTTGGGCTTTACACAGCTAGAAACTTTTACCAAGAAGTCAAAGACAAACTAAGCCTGTAGACTAGAATCCTCTGACGGATTTACTGTCTCTTATCTAACTGTGAAGGAACTTATTAATAAATTAATGATAGGCCCTAATGCCAAATCAATTTGTCTCTTTTCCCAATTTGCATTCCCAATACGAAGTTGGTAAAAATTAAATGTTACTGGATTCATATACTCTTAATATTTTTAGATGTATCAATGTGAGGTGGCAAATCAAGAGCACAGTATATCTTCACACAAGTGAACCTCTTGCCTTTCATTGCAGTTATATTTCGTTGTATATAAAATGTTTAAGGAGAAACAAACAAACAAAAAATTCCAGGAGGAGACTTGAAGATTCAACCAAAAACACTGGACCTGGGATGGTATATAAGTGGGAAGAGAGAGAGATGGTCATTAAAAGAAACTTGATCAATTTAGCAAATGTAAGGAAATGCAAAAAAAAAAAGAAAACAAGTACAAAAGACAGTTAAGTAATAAAAAGAAACTATGCTTCAAGAAATATATATGAATGGATTAAATTCCCAGAGTAAGACAGATTTAAGATGAGGTTAAAATACAAATTCCTGTTCTACATTTTTATAAGTAAGACTCATAAAATAAAATGACAGAGAAGGACTCTAATACATTTTCTGAACAAATTATCAGAATCATTACTATTTTACAACAACTAATAGTCCTAAAAATATTATTTAAAAATTTCATAATAGGGGCGCCTGGGTGGCTCAGTTGGTTAAGCGACTGCCTTCGGCTCAGGTCATGATCCTGGAGTCCCGGGATCGAGTCCCGCATCGGGCTCCCTGCTCGGCAGGGAGTCTGCTTCTCCCTCTGACCCTCCTCCCTCTCATGCTCTCTGTCTCTCATTCTCTCTCTCTCAAATAAATAAATAAAATCTTAAAAAAAAAAAAATTTCATAATAAAGAAAAAAATCAACATTATACCTGAACTTCAGAGGATGTTCCATCTTGTGCTAGAGCCAATAAAATGCTGACACTGGTTTTTAGATGTTGTCCTGAGCCGATACCACCAACATAGCGATGCAAGCAGCCCAGAGCCAATGAATGCCCAGTTCTGGATACAACATCGCGGGCTGATTTCAACCTGAAAAAAAGGTATGCTTCAGAAATTGGTTTTTCTATTTCCCTATGGAAATCAGAAAAGACTACAGTTATGATTACTTCTTTTTCCACTCCCTACCAAGAGTTAGAGATTAATGACAATGGTTCGTGAAAGTGACATATTTCATGGAATAAAGCCTATTTTTATTTTAAAGAAAATGTGAAAGAAGAATCACAACTTCTCAGTTTTAAACATTATTCCTTGAAAAGTCAAGAATCATTGGAAAAATATTTTTATTATTGGTGTTTTAAATAAAAGAATTGTTTTTATAACTGGTTTTATAAATATAAAAAACAGGGTAACTCTAGTCATAGAATTAAAGAAAATGTTAACTTTCACTTAAGAAAATTTCCATAATTATGATGTGAACCTCTTTAAAATGCATCAGTCCTTTTCTCTGTGAAATATATCTAATGAACTAAAAAATATAAAAAGGAGATATTGTATATTAATTTTTGAAAATAGGCTTTATTGAGATATATACAATAAAATTCACCAATTTTAATTCTTTTCAAGTAAACATAGAACATTTACCAAGACAGATAATTAATTCCAATAAATGGAAATAGAACATATCAGAATTTATGGGATGCAGCTAAAGTATGTTTTAAGGTGAATTTATAGTATTAAAATTCTAATATTAGGAAAGAAGAAGGGTTTTAAATCAATTATCTAAACTTCCACCTTCAGAACCTAGAAAGAGAAAGCAAACTGAACCAAAAAAAAGCATAATGAAGCAAGTTATAAGGGTAAAGCAGAAATCAGTGGAAGAGAAAACAGAAAAATGGAGAAACTCAATGAAACAAAAGCTGTTTTTTTTAAAAGAACCATAACACTGATAAACCCTTCAACTGACTAAATAAGAAAAAAAGGAAAGACAGAATGTATATTCTGCTGCTGTTGGGTAAAGTATTCTATAAATGTCAATTAGGCCAAGTTTGATGATTGTATTGGTAAAATCTATATTTTTAATAATTTGGGAGCATCTGTTCTATCAATTACTGAGAGAGGAATGCTGAATCTCCTATAATTATGGACTTTCACTTCTATTAGGTTTTGTTCCATGTATTTTATTTTTTTAAAGATTTTATTTATTTATTTGAGGGAGAACGAGCTGGCAAGGAGGGGCAGAGGGAGAGGGAGAAGCAGGCTCCCGCTGAGCACGGAGCCCGACGCAGGGCTTGATCCCAGGACCCTAAGATCATGACCTGAGCTGAAGGCAGACGCTTAACCGACCGAGCCACCCAGGTGCTCCTTGTTCCATGTATTTTAAAACTATATCATAAGATACATAAACATAGAGAATTGCTATGTATTCTTGGGGAATACATCCTTTTATCATTATGAAATCACTCATTTATTCTGATAATCTTTGTTACAAAATCTACTTTTTCTAATAATAACAGAGCCACTTCAGCTTCCTTTGGATTAGTGTTTTCATGCTATATTATTCCTATCCTTTTACTTTTAACCTCTCTCTGTCTTTTAGTTAAAGGGGTTTCTTGTAGACAGCATATAGTTAGATCTTGTTTGTTTTTTTATTTTATTTTTTATTTGAGAGAGAGCGAGAGAGCATGACTGGGGGCAAGGGGAGGTAGAGGGGCAGAAGGAGAAGGAGAAGCAAACTCCCCACTAACCAGGGAGCCTGACATGGGGCTCAATCCCAGGACTCTGAGATCATGACCTGAGCTGAAATCAAGAGTTGAACACTTAACGGAATGAGCCAACCAGAAGCCCCTAGATCTTTCTTTTATTTCTTTCTTGATTTTAAAGATTTTATTTATTTATTTGAGAGAGAGAGAGAGAGATGAGCAAGAGAGAGCACAAGCCGGGGAAGGGGCAGAGGGAGAGGGAGAGGCAGGAGCAGATTCCCTGCTGAGCAGGGAGCCTGATGTGGGACTCGATCCCAGGACCCTGGGTTCACGATCTGAGCTGAAGGCAGACACTTAACCGACTGAGCCACCCAGGTGCCTGATCTTGTTTTTATTTAATCTGTAAAACCCTAACTTTTACTTGTAACGTTTAGACCATTTACATTTAATGCTATTATCGGCATGGTTGGGTTTAAGCCTACCATATTGCTATTTGTGCTCTATTTGTCACATCAGTTTGTTCCCTTTTCCCTCTTTCTGTCTTCTTTTGGATTTAGTATTTTTTATGATTCCATTTTATCTCCACTATTGGTTTATTAATTATACATTATTATTTTTTAGTATAATCTCTGGAGTTTATAATATATGTATTTTTAAAAGATTTATTTGAGAGAGAGTGAGAGAGAGCACAAGCAGGGAGGAGGGGAAGAAGGAGAAGCAGGCTCCCCGCTGAGCAGGGAGCTCCACATGGGGCTCAATCCCAGGACCCTGGGATCATGACCTGAGCTGAAGGCAGACACTTAACTGAATAAGCCACCCAGGTGCCCCTATAATATACACTTCTAAGTCTTTATGATCTACCATCAAAGAATATCATATTCTTTCATGTATATTATACACAATCAGAGTATACTACCATTTCCTCTTCCCATTCTCTGTGCTGTTGTCAGGTATCTTACTTCTCTACATATTAAAATCCTACCGTATGTTATTATATTTGCATTAAAGAGTCAATTATCTTTCCAAGGCATTTGAGAATGAGAATAAAAATAGCTTGCAGACTCCGCTGCCCAGGAGCTGCCCATGCCACCCAGCCATGGTCAACCCTACCGTGTACAACATTGCCATGATTGGTGAGCCCTTGGGTCACATCTTTGAGCTGTTTTGCAGACAAAGTTTCAAAGACAAGAGAAAACTTTCATGCTCTGAGCACTGGAGAGAAAGGATTTGGTTATACAGCTTCCTGCTTTCACAGGATTATTCAGGGATTTATGTGCCAGGGTGGTAACTTCACAGGCCATAATGGCACTGGTGGCAAGTCCATCTGTGGGGAGAAATATGATGATGAAAATTTTATCCTGAAGCATATGGGTCCTGGCATCTTGCCCATGACAAATGCTGGACCCAACACAAACAGTTCCCCATTTTTTTCATCCGCACTGCTAAGAGTGAGTGGTTGGATGGCAAGGCTGTGGTCTCTGGCAAGTCTTCAGGGCATGAATATTGTGGAAGCCATAGAGTGCTTTGGGTCCAGGAATGGCAAGACCAGCAAAAAGATCACCATTGCTGACTGTGGACAAATCTAATAAATTTGACTTGTGTTTTATCTTAACTACCAGTCCATTACTTCTGTAGCTCAGGAGAGCACCCCTTCACCCCCATCTGTTCAAAATATCCTATAATCTTTGTGCTCTCACTGCAGTTCTATGAGATCCATATTTTCCTTATTCCCCTCCAAGTCTAGCTGGATTGCAGAGTTAAGTTTATGATTACGAAATAAAAACTAAATAACAATAAAAAAGAAATTAATGAGAAAAAAATAATAGGTCATTTAAAAATAGACTTATAAAAGAATAAGTCTTTATATTTATCCACATAGCTACTACTTTTGGCACTCTTCACTTCTATATTTACATCCAAATTTCCATCTCATATCATCTTTTTTGTGTGTGTGCAAAAAGCTTCTTTTAACATTTCTTATAGTATACCTTGTAAGCAATGAATTTCCCAACTTTTCAGTCTTAAAGTCTTTATTAAAACTTTGGTTTTGAAAAGCATTTTCACTGGGTATAAAGTTCTAGGTCATTCTACTGTTTTCTGCTTGCACAGTTTATGATCAGAAGCCTGCTAAAACTGTTACCTTTGTTCCTCTGCATAATGTCTTTTCCCCACTGGCTGCTTTTATGATGTTCTTTTTATCACTGGCTTTAAGGAATTTGATTATCATATGCTTTTTGATTTGTAAATTTATAGTTGTCATCAAAATTGAAAATTTCTGTCTACTATTTCTTCAAATAATTTTTGACCTACCCTTACTTCTAAGATTTCAATTATCTGAATGTAAGCTTGACATTGTTCTAGAAGTCACTGAGACTTCTGTTCATTTTTTCCCCAGTCTTTTTTTTCTGTGCTTCATTTGGAATAGTTTCTATTTCCATCTTCAACATCACTTTTTTTCCTACTGCAATGTCTAACCTTCTGTTAATCCCAATCAATGTATTTTTTTCATTTGAAATATTTTACATTTCTAGAAGTTTCCCCTGGGTTATTTTATGAATTTCAATTTTTTCATCACGCTTGCATTTTTCTTATACTTCCTTAAAAATATGGAGCATATTTTTCAGTATTCTTCATTGCTAATTCCATCATTCCTTCCATTTCTGGGCCTATTTCCAAAGACTGATATATTCCCCTGGTAACAGATCTTACTTTCCTGCTTCCTTACACATTTGATTAGTTTGGACTGGATAGTGGGTACTATACATTTTACAATATTAGGTGCTACACTAGTTGTGTTTCTTTAAATACTATCGGGCTTTGTTCTGGAATGTACTTATTAATTAGAATCCGTTTGATCCTTTCAAGGCTTGCTTTTAAATTGTTTTAGAGTGGGTCAATATTGCCTTCACTACTAAGGCAATATCCTTCTAAGATTCCATTTTAGGTCTTTCCAATCTGAACAGTAGGAACTACTTTCAATCCTGTGTGAGCCCTGGGGACTGTTTCATATTCTGTCCACCTATTCACCTATTCTTTTCTGTTTGTTTTTTTTTTTTCCTGGTCTTGGGCAGTTTCCTTCTGCACATAGCAGCACTCAGCCAAAGACTTGAGATGACTCCTCTGCTCATAGCTCTCTTACCATGCAGCTCTCTCCTCTCACATATTCTATTCCACACATTCTAGCTATGTTGACC